GGACGTACTGTTGTATTATATTTCAGTGGTTGAATAAATGTACGTACGTGTCTAATAGATGGTTTTGATGGTAAATATTCATTTAGTGTATAAGTTCTTATCTTCGGATTATGTCACAATCATTTTGACTGTTTCATTTATATTAATGCTATGGCTAAATTGATCAAATTTTTATTGAATTTTAATCTATTTAAAATTAATTTTTGAATTTTAATTTTTTTTATTTTTTAGATTTATTCTGTTTTTTAGTTTTATATTAAAAAAATATCACATAAATAGTTTCATTATAAAAATTATTCAGTAAAATATATTTAGAATTTCTCCCAAAAAAAAAGGATTATTTTATATTCTTCTCGAATTTCTAGATTTTTAATGTTTAGAAATTAAAAAAAAAACTTTTCAAATTTAAAAACTTCTGAAAATTTTCCGAAAAAATAGTTTTTATTTATAACTTTGTGCAAAACGTAAGCTAAAAATATCAAAAATTAATTCTTTTAGAGATAGTTAAAAATTATGAAAAATATTAAATTTAAAAATAAAAATAAAATCCAGAAGATATCGAATCTAAAATTAAAAATTAAGAAACTAATTTTAAATAAATTAAAGTTTAAAATTTCTTAGTTCATCTGGCCTAATTTTATTTACAAAAATATCATAAATTTCTAGTATAGACGCAATAGAATCTCTCCTTATGTATGTGTAAAATGCACCATGTTTTCTATCACATATCTGATTAATCTATCCATATAAATACTTCTTAAAAATTTAAGTAACTGAACTAACATAATTTGATCATTATATGACAAGAAATATATATTATGTTCGTCCTATATATATAATCATGAATGAAGTTTCGACAACAAATGCCATCGAATGAAAAAAAAAAAAAGAAGAAAAAACCAAACCTGACCCTTCAAGACTATTGCTACGTTTTTATTAAAAAAAAAAAAAAAAGTTTAAATGACTTTTCCGTGTGCCCAACCGATTCCGCGTGCCGCTATCAGTCGGCGCCAGGACTGGTACCAATTTTTTTGCCGTAATTGTGGAACTAGTTTTTGTCTACTTTTCCTTCCTATCTATATATACATAGAATACATATAGTAAATGCCAAACTTCCATAGATTTCCTCTCCCTACAAATACAGTGATACAGACAGCAAGTTTGAAAGTGATGGCATGGAAAAGCACATCTGACGCGTGTCCCTCACGACGGTGAAAAAACGATCTACGTGCTTTCAATATACATACACGGAACCTCTTATATCGAAGAAACCCCTTGATGATCAGGAACTCTTCAGATTTGCCTTGGAAATTTTACGATCAGAAAAGATAGTACTTGCACTAATACCCACTGGATATTCATATAGGAGAATCAGAATCTTCAAGTTGCAAAAGCTCTAATTAAAGTCTATTGCATGCCAAGAAAAAGACTCTTTTTCCTCTAAAAGAAATCAAACTTCTTCGGGCGGTTTGTATGCTTTTGAAATTTTAGGATCGCTTAAAAAGTCAAGACAACAAATGCAGAGCATCTTCCTCGGAGAATAATTTACAGAATCTGCCAAACCACTAGTTCAGTTGTGATCATAATGAATTTTGAAGGTTCAATTGTTTGTAATGTTAAAACAAGCTACTAGCTAGCATGCACAATAGAATTAGTCAAATAGATTTTTGCTCAAAAACAGTTGGAGGGTCTATTTATTAACTCCTATCCGATAGGAGAATCAAAAAACTAACTCCCAATGTTAGAGCATTTCCAATTGTGCTCTTTACTTTTAGCTAGCATTTTTAATGTAAATAGAGAGTATCATTAATTATATAGATAGAAGATCAATATCCTCTCTAATGCTACTCTCTATTTAACTCTTTATTTTGATAAAATCTATAAAACCCATAGAGACTATTGGTGAAGAGGTTGAGTGGCATTGGAAATAGTAATTTTCATTAATAAAATATAAGATAAAGAGTCATTTGGACTCTCTAGTATTGGAGAGCCAAAGACACTCTTTATACTAATTTTAAAGATAAAGATTGTGATAAAGAGAGCATTGGAGATGAAATTTGGATCAAGCCTCTTTATTATAAAGAAAAATCTTAATATAAAGAGAGCATTGGAGATGCTCTTAGACTCAAAAGAATTTGGGCAAACCTCATACAAGTCCCCAACCTTTAAACAAAATCTCGATCGGATCCATAGCTTTTGGAAGAGAATGGGTTCTCGATGAGATCCGGCCTCCATCAATTTCATTTTACAAATCTATTAGGTAGACACATAAAACTCATGAGGTTTTTATTTTTTCATAGGAAAAAAAAAAACCCATTAAGTTTCTCTATATTTTCGTGTTGAATCTTGTAAAACTAATGTGATAAGTCATATTTTACGGATAAACATATTTTACACACATATATATAGTATCATGCAATGATATGAATATTAATAAATTAGTGGATTTTTAATAGAAAAGAAAAAAATTGTGCGAGTTTCATGTAACTACTTAATAATTTTATTGATTGAAACTAGCATAATGATTCAAGTGAAACTATCCATGGATATTTTAGAGATCCAATCGAGATGAAAAATAGTCCGGAGATCCAATTGAAATTGTGTCGGATTTTTTTTTTGAGATTTGCTCAAAGAATTTCTTAAACTAGCTAAGTGACTAAAAGTGTGTTTGACAATGTATTTGTATTGCATTTTTTTTTAAATATGTTTACTTGAAAAAACATGAATTAATATTTTTTAAAGATATTTTTGAATAATTTTAATACGCAATGTTGAAAGCACAAAAAAATACATAAAAAAATAATATCAATTTATTTATTTATTTTTACTATCCCAATATACTTTTATAAAAATTGCATCGCAGTGCTAAGAGCATCTTCAATACTCTTTTTATATTAAGATTTTTTTTATAATAAAGAGGTTTTGTCTAAATTTCATCTCCAATGCTACTGAGTCTAAATGACTCTTTATCTTATATTTCATTAATGAAAATTACTATTTTCTATGCCACTCAACCATCTTCATCAATAGTCTCTCCGGGAGATTAAGAGAAAAAAAAAAGAAGAGAAAATTTTAGAATTAAATGTTTTATGAATTTTATCAAAATAAAGAGTTAAAGTAAAAAGTAGCATTGAAGAAGACATTAATCTTCAATCTATATAATTAATGATGCTCTTTATTTATATTAAAAATACTAGTTAAAAGTAAAGAACATATTAGAGATGCTCTAGATATAGCTAATTCCCTGTTGCCTATAAATCAATCACAAAGGTCTAAATCATTACAAACATGCCACGTACTCGATTCTAGATGTTTGACCCAAATCTATCTCCAATGCTCTCTTTATCACAATCTCTATCTTTAAAAAAATAAGATACTAAATTTTTTTGACTTTTTAATACTACTGATTCCAAATGACTCTTTTATCTTATATTTCATTAATGAAAATTACTCTTTTCTATATTACTTAAAAGTCTCTACGAGAGATTAACGAAAAAAAAATTTAGAATTAAATGTTTTATGAATTTTTTAAAATAAAAAATTAAAGTAGAAAATAGCATTAGAGAAAATATTGATCTTCAATCTATATAATTAATGATGCTTTCTATTTATATTAAAAATGTTAATTAAAAGTAAAAAATATTACTAAAGATGTTGTAGATATAGCTAATTCCCTGTTGCCTAGAAATCAATCACAAAGGTCTAAATCACTAGAAACATGCCACGTACTAAGTCCTATAGCTTTTGAAGCTATGCAACCACCAAGAATCTTACGACACAGCAACAAGAAAACAAGGGGATCAACTACAAAAAATCTTTTAAAGAGAAACGACTTTCAGGAAGAAAAAAATACATCTTCTTTTCCGGTTGTCTTTCTAGTGATTTCCCATGAATGAGAGCTAGGTCCCACCTAAGATTTTTATTTTTATTTTTAACAATAATCTCCCCTGTTAAGTATAAATTTTCGTTGCCTGGTGTATAAAACATAAGACCGAATTCGTAAGAGTTAATATAATCGTATCATTGTTTTAAATCTTCCTTGTTTTGTCAAATAAAATTATTGAATTATTTTGACAGGTGATAAATTTAAAAATATTTTGCATTTTTATTTAAGAAAATCTATTTTATCTTAAAAAACATATAGTATAAGTACAAAACTAATTTATGCATCGCATGATCCTTTTTCCACATAAAAATAAACTTTTTTTTTATAATAAACAAGTCGTACAAAAATCTTTCACAATCATAACTACTTAATTAATATTTTCAAACTTACACCTCATCATTTATAGCTTACCAAACACATATATTATAAAGCTTTACGATCATAATTCACAAACACATCCACATTACATCTGTCATATCAAGGAAAACCTTTATTCTCTATTTTTCATTCGTTCGACTATGCAAAATAATACAGTATATAAATAAATGACCCAAAAAAAAAAAAACTACTAGCATCAACTTGTAAAATTACATCATAAATAAACGAGTTAAACATATTATTTGCATCATGTGTTTTTATACATTTATCAAATAAAGTTTTATAATTTTAATTTGATTTATTAAACACATATATAAATACTATATATGTTGGATCTCATTTTATATAATTATATATTTTTATTTTAATTAACATATAAAAATTATCGATTTTATAAAATTGTACTCAATTGATTTAAATCGATGGAATTGAAAATATAGATATTTATTTGATAAAATTATAAAAATACAGGACTTAAATAGTGGGTTTAGTCTAAATACACGCATATATGTATATATTACATGCACCCACTACGCCGAAAAAAGAGAAATATATATAGGGTACTGCTTCGAGGGAAGCTTCGTGGAAGCTGCCTCAATGGCAGTCACCACACTCCATTTAAGCACTCACCTTCTTCTCTCTTTCCCCTCAGCCTGCTTTCATTATTTCTCTTTTTTCTCTTTTGTTTACAGCCATTTTCTCCATCTGGGTCTCTTTCTATTCTTCTAATTTCACCATGAAATTCATCAGAAAGCTCAGCCCGAAACGCTTATTCGGCTCCAAAAAAGACCGATCCATGCTATCCAGATCAGACCCATCATCGTTTAGCTCAGGTACAGCGTCCTCCTATTCCGACGACACTTCAGTCCATAAACCCGATTCCGCTGCAACCAAATCCGGTTTTCGGACTCCTACTAGTGTTTTGCCACAAATATCGGGCGACTGGTCCGATATCTCGGCCGATCTTTATTTCGAGTTGACTCAGGCTTTTAAGTTAATTGACAGAGATAACGACGGCGTTGTCTCAAGAAACGAGCTGGAGGCTCTTCTTGCACGGCTTGGAGCCGAGCCGCCGAGCAGCGAGGAGATGACCGTTATGTTAGGCGAGGTTGACCATATTAGCGTTGAGGCTCTTGCGAGCCGCCTTGGCTCGGCTTGCGAGCCGGCTGGGGACGGTGAGCTGAGAGACGCCTTCGTGTTCTTTGACTCGGATCGGGACGGAAAGATAACGGCAGAGGAATTGTTAAACGTTTACAAGGCATTTGGCGACGAAAAGTGCACGTTAGAGGATTGCAGGCGTATGATAGCAGAGGTTGATAAGGGTGGAGATGGGTTCGTGTGCTTTGAGGACTTCTGTCGTATGATGGAGCTGCAGAGATGATCATGATTAAGTGATGATTATATCATATAATTATAAATCATGTGATGACGGTTGCTCTTGAAAATGTCTTTGATTTTCTTTCTTTTGTTTTTTGGTTTTTTCCTCTTTGGGTCTTATTTTCTTAACTTGGAAGTGTTTACGAGATTGTGTGGGGTTAGTTAGGGAAATGAGATGTTGAAGAGATCAAAAGAAATACGATCAGTCAATCGGGCGGTTGTGATTGGTTGATCTTGTTGAGAAAATTGTACTTCCCTCAACCGTATATATGAGGAAAAAATTTCCTGATCAATTTTTTTTTTTTTTCATGGAGGTTGAGAATTTGTTGGATAATTATCGTCGACGTATTAATAACTTTGAAAAAGACGCAATCAAATGTTGGCAGATTTAAATCTGACTGCAATTTAGAAACAAAACATTTAAGTTTTGTTTTTTAGGCAGGCAGGCCAAATGGAAAAAAAAATAAAATAAAGTTTTTTATGAAACTTTAAGTTTCTAATGGAATGGTTTCATCTTGGCATGGGCGTCTTCTTAAGTGATGCTACCATAATTTATTTTAATTGCTATAAATAGCAAATTATTACATAAAAAACAAGGAAAAATTCAGCATTCGTTAGTAATGTTCTAAACTCTCGTAATTATTGCTTTTAATATCGCAATAATATACAAAAAAAGGTTACATGATATTAAAATTCCTTATTTCATGACATTCTGATCAAAAGGTGGGATTTTATTTGCTCTCACTTAAATTGATTTTTTACCTAAATTAAGAATTTTATTAATTATTATATCATATCAATATTTTTTTGTTTTTTAAAATTATATGTGAATAATTTCTTACAAAATGAATATTAATCAAAGGTGTATTAAGAAAACTCATTAGTTAAAATTTTAATTATACAATTTTTTTTAAAAAATATACATATCCATTAAAGGTGTATTAAGAAAATACAAGAGTTAAAATTTTTATCATACAAATATTTTTTTAAAAAATATAAATAAAAAGATAAAAAATTTATTTGGGCCGGAAGGAATACTCGTATTATTTATTATTTTTATTTTAGAAAGAGGCGGGTATTTGATGGAAGATAACCTTTGTCCTGGACAAGGCATATGTTATGTACGCCTCTAAAGTCTTGGACCATGATTAAAAAAAGGATCAAAATTCAAAAAGCTTAGAATAATTATGGAGATGGGTTGAGAAGAGGTAGAATTGCCGTTAATCCTAGACGATTTTCAATTAAATTACTCTTAACAGTGATTTTTTTTTTTTTTTGTAACTCCCATATTCAATTCATGTATTCAAAACGCTTAACAGAATTTCGTTCGAATTTGAACTTGTGTTTTTTTTTTATAAATTATTACTGAATTATAAGTGCTTTGGTTTCTTAACAGTGATTAAGTTTAACCGATTACATCAGCGATCTTCGACTTAGAAAATCAGTTATGAATCTCTCTAATCTAAACAAGAATCGAAGAGTGGGCCTAGCAGCATAAACTCACAAACCTGCAAACGGGCAGGGGGCAACAGATGGATTAAAAGTGGTACTGTTTTTGATAAGGTTTGAGCACCAACAACAGCGGCGGGTGGTATTGACGGCCAGCTGATGTAAAAGATCGTAAGGTCATGGAGAGTCAATTAATAACACGTGTCATTTCCTGGATAGTTCCTTCCTTTTAGAGCATTCCGATTTTTTATGTTTTTTTTTTTTAACTCGCCCTGATTTGGAAGTGTGAAAATAATACTCTTTGCGTTTCTTTTGCCTTTTCCCGTTTTCAAATCGAATTAACTATTAACTTCAATGAAATGCATGTTTGATTTTCTTCTTTCTTTTTTAAAAAGTTAATTAAGTTGAATTCTAAAACTTCAGTCACATGCAAAGGGTGAGAGTGTGAATGATCCAAACCAAATTTTCTGCTGAAGATGAAAGATTGAATGAGAAAAAAATAAAAATAAAGAACATTAGGATGTTTAATTTGTCAATGACGTGGAAGATTAATAGCGTCAAGAATTTTCGGTGCAAGAAAAATCCAGGAAGCAGAGAGAGCTTGGTGTCCTTGATTATTAAAGTTTGTCTGCTCCAACCCGCAATGGAATAATGACTCGTGAGCAGACATGCTTGGTAAAAGGTGATTTTCGCGCGCGCACACACACATGTTCTTGGAATTCGTTACTTAGCACGATCTATTAATGGCTTTTTTTTTTTTTTAATGAAATATGGATGGAAAGATAATATTAAAACCAATAAATTATAGATAAAATTTATGAAACTATTTGATTCTGAATTTATTGATATACAGTTTTATTTTATAGACTTACACATTCAAAATTGTAATTGGAATCTCATATCTTCTTTTCTTGAAAGAGCAAAAGTTTCATATAAAATTTTATAAGCTCCTTTCTACATGTTGTTTTATGTTAATTATGATTCAAATGTAATCAAGATAAAATTTAGGTAATATTCAATTATTCATATTTTAAAAAATCTATATATGTATAAAAAAAACAGATCATAATATTAGATGTAAACCCATTGATCGAGAAGCTTTGACTCACAATGAAATCGGATTGATCATATAAAATTTCTTAAGATTAATTAGTATTTTCTGATTAATATTTTATCTAATAGTTGCAGAATGCAGTAATTTGTTATTTATTTATTTATTTTTTGTTTATCATTCTAAATAATGTAATTATTTGAACACATGATTCCCGTCTTGATCCGTTGCTATGAGTATAGAATAATTAGGCTGCATTATTCATAGTTAATAGTCTAAGTAAATATTAGGGTTCTATAGTCAAATTAAAGAATGTACATAGGAATGTCCAAAAAAAAAAAAAAATTGGTTTTGTATGGTGTGAAATGACAAGTATTCCCACTAAAGAGTGATGATTCTTCAAACGAGAAAAACAATTGAAATCTGACAATTATTTAGTAAATAATTATATTATAATGAGCAGCATGATTCGTGCTGATACTATTCAATTTTATTTATTTATTTTTTTTTTTGAGAATTTATTCAAATTTTATTATTAAAGGCACATACTGCGTAATCAGAAGAATAACTCTCAAATTTTATCGCAATAATATTTATTTAAGTAACAAAAACAAAATCCAAACGGTCTTTTTAATCAAAGCGATCGTTAATATCCATTTAAATTTGAAAATATCAAACGGGATATTCTTTGACATTTATGGCGTGATTGGATATATATATATATATAAAAAAAACTTGAAATTCAAATTTGTTCAATTATCATAATATTGAACTCCCAATAACTAACCTAAAGTGTTTTAAGGACACTTTATGTAAACTAGATGATAAATAGCATTCTAAAAAAAAAAAACATTTGATATATCCTATCAAAAGTGTTCTTGCTAATGAGACTATCACGTGAAAGTAATTATATGTTAATTATAATTAAATCTAATTAATTAGGGTTGTTGAAACCTATAAAAGGCATTGAAAATGGGGAGTTTTGGCGTGAAGCGAGGGGCAGGAACATGGCTCCATGTTTGGTAATAACAATATTGGTGGGGGTCACGAAAGAAAACAGCATGCATTGCACTTTCTACTACGCAACATCCCTATCTTCTTTTTGGATTTATAATGGCTACCAAAATCACAATTAGTGCTGATTGATCGATTGGTTGTATTATTAGTTTTTCGTTTAAACGAGGGAAATAAAATACTATTGTTTGCTTGGATAAAGACATTGTAAGCGTTCCCTCCAATGTCAATCTTGTCTTTCTCACTCTTTTCCAGGAAACTTCCTATGCCTCCTTCAGTACTCGTTAACAAACATAAATATTTTGGCCGGACTTTATTGTTTTTATGAATCCGTCAAGTCAGTGGTTTCAGACTTTGATTTTGTGTCCTTGTACTTTTTTTTTTTTTTTAAAAATAATTTCCATACATATATAGTTTGAGGACTAGGAGTATGGTATGAACAAAATGAAAGGAAAGAACGGTGAGATTCCAAATTGGACTCGTCCCATGGCTCCCATCCCATGAGCCAAATCGAACCACTTGCTGTCTAAAATGGCAACCATGGCATGCGGCCTTTATTAATTTTCATAAGAAAATTTTAATATTTTTTTTCAAGTTCTATTCTGGTTATATGATTTAATTTGAAATGGATATACATATTTTTCAATGTATTATTTTTAATATACGTTTATGATTTTTGATACGCGTCAATAGAATTACTGATGAATTGATTGATAACTATGATTTTTTATTCAAAAGAAAACAGTAGAACAAAATTAAAAAATTTTTGATACAAAATCAAAATAGAATACGGATAGACTTCAATTATGCAATGTCGGAAGCATTCACATGATAAAAAGTTTCAACTTCAATCTTCCCAAGTGGAAGGCCCCACCAGGACCCCATAACCTGTGATTTATGTGGTGCCCTTATTTCACTTTGGTTAGCATCATGAATGTGATTTGTAGAGTGCCAAACTTATTTGACTTTTTTTGTTTTTCTGAATGGAGAATTAATGGAGTGGCATATCCTTCATTATAATGCACACGAATTGGGTTAGAGTAACTGGCCTATGACCTTCCATTTCATAGCGCTGAGGGCAGCTCAAGGGTTTTTTTTTGCAACAAATAGCTCCAAGATACGTGGAAGTACACAATATGTCAAGTTAAAAACTGCAGTATATGCGAATAATTCTGATCAGAGAAAAAACTAGAACATCAGGGGTGAGCAAACGTTTAGTTTAATCGAAAATCGAATAAAATCGAACCGAATTATAAAATTTGGTTCGGTTTTAAATATAAAATTATAGAATATAAAACCGAATCGAAAAAATCGAAATTTATTTTGGTTCGGTTCGGTTTTTAGAAAAAAAATTTCGATTTCGATCGAAAACCAAAATAAAAAGTAAAAAATTTCACGATTTCTAAATCCCTAACTTTTCAATCTTCATTCTTGTTGAAACTAAAACACGAAGATGGGAAGTAAATTTTGAGGATCGTTAGGATAAGAAAAGAAAGTGACGAGTGTAATTAATTGGAATACAATGTGTTTGAATGAACAAATTTATTACACTTGGATTCGTTTTCATTAAAGCTTAGTTAAAATTTTCAAGAGCTCTGTGATTGTTTATAAAAAGGATTAATTGATAACAAGATGTTACTTTATTGGCTAGTGGACTAAGTGCTAGTACAAAACATCTCTCTCGTAATGATTTTTTTTACAGCAAAATATTTTGGTTAAAACCAAAATATTTCAAAACCAAATCGAAATAATTCGGTTATAAACTGAATTTATCGAATTTATTTCGGTTCGGTTTTGATTTTTATTTTTTTTAATTCGATTAATCAAAAATCGAATCAAATCGTATAAAACCAAACCGTTTAACCGAATACTCACATCTATTCAACAGTGAGGGACTAAAGAAGTTGACAAACCATTAGCTGTGTGGGACCGGTGAGCTAAATTATTTTCTGAACCCAAATTCGTGTTGTCTAATCACACACGCACACACACAAACATATTTGCAGGGACAAGCGTGTAGTGACCCTGTACTACTACTTCCACCTCATAAATTAAAAACCCCAGAACCAAAAACTTAAGCTCCATAGCGTACGTTACGTTGCAGCCACTTGAAATGCAATGAACAGTTGAATTCAATTCAGCAATTTTAGTGAATTCCACATACTGGTAAAGTCCTCTAATTTAATAAAAGAGTTCAATTCAATTCCTGTTTTCAAATCAAAATAAAATGGATTCTGTTTTTCGGAAACTTGAATTCGAGTCCTTGGTGCTAAGGGAAATTACCTTTCTTGTATCTTTCACCCTGCAACAAAGCATATATTTTTCAGAGCGGTATTATCAATTTTATACTGATACTATTTTTTGGATGAATCATGTGATTAAGAGAGGCTAATTAGATCCTTAATATTTGAGAATTAAATCCAACCACACCCCTCTATGTATTTTTATGCAAGCTTGCTGTTAGGCCATTGTTTCTTCTCCCACGGCAAGAAAATGTGCCCATTAATTACGAGTCGGGCCCAAGACATAGCATTGGATAATAGAGGTCCTCTACAAGTCCAGAGACATTTGCATTGAGCCCACAGTCTCTATGATGGATATCCATCTGGATTTGGAGGACTCAATGCTTTCTCTCTGTTTCAACCACTGTTTCCTTCGACAAAATCAATTTAATTCAGGAGGTTGTAACTAGCAACAATGGTTAAGACTTCTATCTACTAAATGTAAATGAACGTCTTGCCGTGAGGACTAGGTTTTGTTCAATGTTCTATTGTATCAAATTCTTGGTATGTAGATAATGGGAAAAAAGAAAAAGAAAAACAAACTAAGTGTTGGTATTCAGTTAAGTTCACTAAAATAACACCGTCCGAACTCCCCATTTTTTTTTCGTTTCATTCTCTTCTCCATCTCTTTTTTATGTTTCAATGCTTATTAAGCTAAAAAGAATTACAGCAACAACTGCATCTGATCTCAGACTTTCATTTCCAACATCCTCCTCACTTAAACTCCTCTATTCTACACTAACCTTAAACCCTACCAACAACAAAACGCCCAAAACCCCACCAACCCCAAACCCAACAAAACCCCTTACAAACCCCCAACTCAAAACCCTAGTCCTCTCCCAATACTCCCGTGGAAAATTCTCCAATCTCATCCAAAACGTCGTTGGTTTACCTTCAGTCATCCTCACTGCCTCCCAAAACCTCATTACCCACCACAAAAAAGATGGGCTTATCTGCACTGAGTCAGCCGAGTTGGCCGGGTCGAGTGAGTCACGCCTCCCTCTTTACCACTCAGTTTCAAAGAGCTTCTCGATTGAAGAAATGGGTCGTGAGATTTTTGAGAATCGGTTTGATATTGAGGCTCATTGTGTTAAAATGAGTGATAAAGGTGAGACCTTGATTCTGCCAAATTTGAAACTTAAAGTTTTTATTGAAGCTATTAGGATTGTGTTAGAAATTGTTTATGATGATCGTTTTGTTACCTTTTCTTACGGTGGACGTGTTAATATGGGGCGGCACACGGCTATAAGGTACTTAAAGAACTCAGTGAAGAATCCAAGTTGGTGGTTTAGTGTTTGTTTTAATGATGTTAAGTTTGATAAAAGAAATATAGATAAGTTGTGCTTGTTTATAGAAGAGAAAATTGAAGATGGGATTTTGATAGATGTGGTCCAGAGGTTGTTTGAATGTGGTGTGTTGAGAATTGAATTAGGTGGGTGCTATTTGGGGAAAGGGTTGCCTCAAGAATGTGGATTGTGTTCGATTTTGATTAATGTTTACTTCAATGGATTTGACAGAGAAATTCAAGAGATGCGTTTAAGAATGAGCAAAGAGAATCCTAAATTTGATGAGAATAAGATTGGTGAGGAGTCTAGTTCTTCTTATAAGCCACTGAAGATGCATGCTGTTAGGTACTTGGATGAGATATTAGTGATTACATCAGGGTCGAAGATGCTGACGATGAATTTGAAGAAATGGGTTTTGAAATTTTTGGAAGGGGAATTGGATTTGAATGTGGATAGAATGAAGACAGCAATTCATAGTGCAGTTTCGGAGAAAATTGATTTTTTAGGGATGGAATTGCAGGCTGTCCCTCCATCAGTCTTGCATCCACCAATGTCGGAAAAAGCAATTAGAGCAAGGAAAAAATATCTTAGACAAAAGGATGTTAGGGCTTTGGAATTGAAAAATGCTCGGGAGAGGAATCGGAAGAAATTAGGTTTGAAATTATTGAGTCATGTTTTTAAAAAGTCGAAGCAAAGTGATGGGTTCAAATTTGATTTTCAAATTGAGAATGAAGTTCGAGAAATCTTTCAAACTTGGGCGGATGAAGTGGTTCAAGAGTTTTTAGGCTCCCTGGAAGAGCGTTGGACATGGCATCGAATGCTCACTGCTGGTGATTTCCTCTCTCTCAGGCATATCAGAGACCAATTGCCACAAGAGCTGGTTCATTCTTATGATAAGTTCCAAGAGCAGGTAGATAAGCACTTATCACCAGTCAAGGCTAGAAAGGCATTGGAGGAAGAAGAAAGGAGAATCGAAGAAGAGGAGGAAAGGAAATATGCTGAGAGAACCGTGGAGGATCTGACAAAACTTTGCATGAAAGTCTCAGCACCTATTGAACTTGTAAGGAAGGCTGTTAAGATGGCTGGGTTTACGAATAATATGGGTCGTCCCAGGCCAATCAGCATACTTACTTCTCTGGAAGATGCTGATATTATCAAGTGGTATGCAGGGGTTGGGAGAAGATGGCTCGATTTCTTTTGCTGCTGCCACAACTTGAAGATGGTGAAAACTGTTGTAAGTTATCATCTGAGGTTCTCTTGTATTTTGACGTTGGCAGAAAAGCATGAAGCAACAAAAATTGAGTGCATTAGGCATTACACTAAAGATTTGAAGGTCTCAGATATGAATGGAAATGAAGAGGTTCACTTCCCCACTGAAAAGGAGGTAAAGATGATGGGGGATAAAAATCTTTCAGATCCAAAACCTGTAGATGGGGCTTTATCTTTGGTACTAATCAGACTGGCTTCTGATGAGCCGTCACTTTCCTGCACTGGTCATTTTTGTGACAGAGCTGATACTGTTACCTATCGAGTGTGGTTGCTGCAGAACATTTTAAATGTGAATCCAGCAGATGAAGACAAGTGGGTTCCAAGGATGAGTGCAATTCATGAAAGTCTTCAGCGGATATGTCTCCCTCTTTGCTCTGATCACGTAAGTGATTTATATACTGGGAAAATTACCCTACAGGATATTGACTGCACTTCGTTTGTGGATGTCGATTGAACATTGCTGGAGTTGCATTAGGTTCTCAAGGCCGCTTGCTTTAGTAGCATGTATCAATCTGTAAAACACAAGTGAAGCCATGCAGTTGCTTTGTACGGATTGTTTTCACATAGATGGATTTATACAATGAAAACGATTTTTCTCCTGATCCTGATTTGTAGTATTTCCTAAGAAGATGAATGAACAGTCCGAGGTACTTCCCCATGTTGGTTTTGGTTGAAAACTTGATCACCGATTGTACGGACTGTTGGAAACTATCTGAAAATGACTCATTGAATGATTCCAGTCCCGGCCCTGACAAACTCCTTGGACGACTCATATTTAGTTCCATTCCATTGGAGACCCTATGTTTGTATCAAGTTGACAAGTTGAATCTTGTAGAAATAATTTTGAGAATTCAATCTTATAATCATTATATTTTAGACAACTTAATCCAATTATCCTCAATCATCAATAGAAATCCATTTGCAACAGTAAGACAAAATCTTGCTAAGATCACAAGTGAGAGTAATCAAAACCCGAACTTGTTTGCCGGTCATTGTTAATGTCCCTATTGTATTCTCCAAGAAGAACAAAGTGCATGGTTTTGATTCGGATTTGGGTTTGGGTTTAAGAAAATGTCTACCCATCCAACTACTCCATTGTCTAAACCGCCAGCTGGGTTTGTTGTGGATAATAGGGGACGGATTCATTTGGCTTCTACTAAGCAGATTGTCACCATTTTCGATTTAATCCCATGGCAACAAAAAAAAAATAAAAATAGAGATGAAAAATTGGAGCTAGGTCAAGGGAGTTCCTTTTCAGACAGAAAAATCAAACAAAAAAGTGAGGGAAAAAAACAAAAAGAAGAGAAGATATTGGAGTGATTGAAAGTCGCTATTTAAGAACAAATCTGTCTTTTTTTAGAGAAAATAGAATGATTGTATTTTGTGTTATCATTTTTTTTTCTATGTTTTAGCTTTTTTTAAAAAAATTTTGTCACCTGTCAAATTAATCTGCCATGGCACGTTACTTGAATTTTTAATCAAAAAATTGACTGAAAAAAAGAAGAAGAGTTACATTAATAAATTTCAAAAATAAAAAGAAGTAACGAATAAGAGAAAGTACAGAGGTCACACTGAAAAAATCAAAAGAATAGAAGGACTTTGACTCGATTAACCCATTTGATTGGCCCTATATCAGTAACTAGAAACTCTTTCAATCTCACAAAAGCAATTGCACAACCTTGGCGCCTCGCCGTTGCATTGTACTTGAGTTTTTGGCGGGTGTCTCTTGGAAATTCAAACTTCTCAATATAAACAGATAGTTATCTGTGAATGGTGCAGTGAAAGATTTTTCAATAAAAAATTTATCTTTCTCCACTCTCCACAATTCCTTCACATCTCCATGGCTTATTACAATCCCCTTGGTCTTGTCTTAACTCGAAACTCCCATTTCTACTTCACTCCCATCACCTGAAAAAAACCCACCAACTGTTTCTCTCTTATTCTCCCTTACCTCTGAATACATGCAAAGACATCAAAACTCTTAAAAGGCTCCATGCTTTTGTCATTATCTCAACTGGGTTTAATCAACCCATTTCCTTTGCTTCAAAGTTCATATCCTTATACTCGCATTTTAATGATCTTAACAGTGCAATGTCAGTATTCAACACTTTACAAGAAGAACCCAACACTGTAATGTGGAATTTGATCATAAAATCCTATGTTGATTCTGGCCTTTCTAGTGAAGCTCTGTTGTTATATAAGAGAATGAGAGAATTGGATGTTAAAGTTGATAGCTTTACATTTCCATTAATAAACAGAGCTGTTTTGTCACTCAAGAGTGATTTGGTATTTGGAGAAATGGTTCATTGTGTCGCAATGAAGTTGGGGTTTGGATTTGATATGTATTTTTGTAATACAATGATAGAAGTCTATACAAAATCTGGGTGGCTTTCTTATGCTCTTAAATTGTTTGAGGAGATGTCACAGAGAGATTTGGTTTCTTGGACATCAATGATTTCTGGGTTTGTTTTTGAAGGAAATGTTGTTGGTGCTTTTGGGTTTTTCAATAAAATGAGGTTGGCGATGGAGCCAAATTCTGTAACTTTGATTGTTATGTTTCAAGGGTGTTGTGGATATGAGGGTTTGATTGAAGGAAGGCAACTCCATGGTTATGTGATCAAGAATGGGTTTTTAGTCGATGGGTCTGTGCAAAATACAATCTCGAGAATGTACACTAAATTCGATTGTCTTGAAGAAGTTGAAACTCTTTTCAGTGGTATTGGTAAGAGGGATGTTGTTTCTTGGAATGCTTTGATTAACTTTCACTCCTTGAGAGGAGACATTGGAAAAATTGCTGGTAGTTTTAATCAAATGCAGGCTGAAGTCAAGCTTAATAGCGAGACTTTAACTTTGATTACCTCAGTGTTAGCAAGAAGGGGAAATCTAATGGATGGCGAAAAGCTGCATGCTTTTTCTATAAAATTTGGGTTATGTGATGATATTTTGCTGACTTCTTTCATGAATTTGTATGCGAAGTGTGGGGAATTGAGAAATTCAGTTCAGTTGTTTAGAGAAATCCCTTGCAGAAGCGACATTACTTGGAATGCTATGATGTCAGGGTTCATTCAAAATGGGTGTTACATTGAGGCGATTGAATTGTTCCGGCAAATGCTAGATTCAGGTCCTAAACCAGGATTTGAGATTTTAGGCAGTCTTGTGGATGCATGTATGCATCTGGGTGCACTACACTTGGGTAAAGGAATCCATGGCTACCTCATGCGGAACTTGTTTTACATTCCTGAAGAAGACAATATGCACTTAGGAACCTCTATCCTTAACATGTACATAAGATGCGGAAACATTTCTCCGGCTAGAGAATGTTTTGACAGAATGCTCGTCAAAGATATTGTAACATGGACATCAATGATCGAGGGGTATGGAATCCATGGGCTGGGTGTTGAAGCTGTAAAACTTTTCGATAAGATGTTGGAGGAAAGAATAAAGCCCAACAGCGTAACCTTCTTAAGTCTGCTGTCAGGTTGTAGTCATTCTGGCCTTGTCAGCAAAGGCTGCGAAGTCTTCTTTTCCATGAAATGGAGATTTGGTATTGAACCTGAATTGGACCATTACAATTGCATGGTTGATCTTTTAGGTCGATCTGGAAGGCTCAAAGAAGCATTGGCTATAATTATAAAAATGGAGGTTTTCGCTGACAATAGGATTTGGGGCACTCTTCTCGCAGCCTCTAGAATGCATGCAGATGAGAAAGTCGGCAACTTTGCAGCTCAAAGGGCCATGGAACTGGAACCTGATGATGTTGGATACTGCACACTCTTGAGCAATGTACAAGCTAGTACTGGAAAGTGGTCTGAAGTTGAAGAACTTAGGAGAGATATGCATGAGAAAGACGTGAAGAAGGCGCCAGGTTGGAGCTATATAGAGGAAAAAGGGAGGAATTATTATTTTGTATCTGGAGATAAATCACACAAGAAAGTGGAGGAGATTTATGAGGTTTTGGGACAGTTAGGTAGGAAAGTGCAGGAATTTGGCTATGTATAGATTTGCTTGTTTAATAGAATCCACTGAAAAAAAAAAAAAAGGTTCGGAAATAACCCAATAATAATATTGTTTCTGTTTCTCTTAGAAGCTCTTTCATTATATGAGCAAATTAATAGGCAACTTTGCCCTACTGAATCTTTGCTGGCTTTGAAGATTACCCTCTCTCATCTTTTTTAAGACGATCAGGAGTATCTTCGGATTTTTTTGTATATCAATTGAAACTAAGTCGTCTTTCCAATCTAATAAATTATGAGGTTTTTTCCTCATTCTAATAAATAATCAGCAGAAGTGACTATAGAACTATGGACTGAGTGATAAAATTGCAGTTGTATTCTTTTCTGCCAAAATCACAAAACCCTTTGTTTGTTTCTTGGACAATGCAAAAATTGCAGACTCATAAAAATATTCTATTTTTCAAGAATGAGGTTATCCTCTTTGTATCATGGTTGAATTTTAGACATACTATCCATAGTTTTAGCAATAAAACCATCCTCTTTGTATGTTTTTCGAGTTTTATGAAATTTGTTTCTTGCTCTATCTCTCTCCCTTCGAAAGGGCAAAAATTAAAAAAAATCGTCACGTGCATATCATGTGCTTCTTAAAAAAGTCGGTGATGATAACTAAACAAACAATAGACCAAAACTAAGGAGATTAACCATTGATCTCTCTCTTTCTAGCTCACAGCAGAACGCAACGCTTGTTGTTTCTTATATTTGTGTCTGAAACCACGCCAAGAAGCGATCTTTCTCCAAATCTGCAAATGCTGATTTAGTACTTCTGGTTCCTACAAATTGTAGAAGCAAAACCAGATTTAGTACTTCTGGTTCCGACAAACTGTAGAAGCAAAACCCAGTTTCTATTTCTGGAGAGAGAGAGAAAGATGGGAGGGTACTCATTGGGGTCAGCTTTTGATTCAAAATCAGGGCAAATGATAATGGTGGCGTTGTTATTGATGGTGGGTTCTTTTTACACTGGCACTCTCTTTGGAAACAACAGTGCTTCCATTTATGTCTCTCAACTCTCTTCTTCTTCTTCTAATTCCTCTACATCTCATGGTATGTTATTTCTCTCTTTATGTGAAGTTTGTGACTTTATAGTGATGTGTATGTAATTTATTGCATCGCATGGTGTTTTTTGGAGATGGGTTTTTCGCCGTGGAATGTAAAGTTGTTTGCTTTGATTACGCTCGTCCCATTTTGGTATTTTCCTTTGAACATAAGTTTTGTGGGTTTTGTTTCTCTTTCTGTTATGTTGGGGTTGTAATTATGTGTTTGTTTTGTTTAATTGTTGTTCAAGTTTGCAAGAATTGGCCTTGGTGGTTTTTGGATTGACTCAGCTGGAAATTTTTTAGGCTATTTGGCTGAAACTTGTTAGTGTTTTGCTTGATGTGTATTGTTTTGCCAATAAATCCGGTGAGCTAGTAGCAATTGGGAAAGATAATAGGGAGCTCATAAATTGCACGTTCAGCATTCAAGGCTACACAACATGCAGATGTCTAGATACTCTGGATTTGGAAATGATACCATTTTCTTTGCATATTGAAGCATCCTGACCAGCTCATACCTTTTCTCCCCAGTGAGATTGGAGGGTTAGATTGATTATTAAAAAAATGAATTGACAGATCACAGTGAGAAACTATTGAAGTACAGAAATAGAGTACTTTAATATTAAATTGTAGACATTGATATTGATGGAAAATAGACTTGGATGTGGCATATTTCTGTGGGCATTAAAGAAGGAAATAATTATTACCACTACATGGGAGCAGTCTTAGTGTACAACTGTGTAATTCTTTTACTGCCATCAAGCATATTTGCTGGTTGCATACAATGTGCAATTTATCAAAAGGAAGCCGCAGGGGAGTACTCATTGCACTGTTCACACATGAATGTATTTTTGGGATCAGGCCAATGCTGCCTTTGGGATCGTCATTTTTACTTGTACATTCCAGATTTGCAACAGCCACGTGTCAGATTAGATGTTAAACCGTTCTTTAGACCTGGAATATCACAGCTCATCAGCTCATTAAAAAAAGTGATCATGTGACCATGAACATGCACAAATTGTGTCTGTTTCATCCTCAAACTATAGTTTAATTTGTTTCAGCCTTTAGCATGTCGCTAATGACTACTACGAAACTTTGCACTTTATGTCTGCTACTAAGTTTGACAGTTGTATCTTCTACACTTGCAGTTACTTACACATTCACCAACAAAGTTGCTCTTGCTTATCGACAAACACCAATAGTAATCCCAGAAAGTGGGATGAATGTATGCCCTTTGAAACTCAATGAGTATATTCCTTGCCATGATGTTGCTTATGTGAAAACTTTGCTCCCAACCTTGGATGTTTCTAGAAGAGAAGAGCTAGAGAGGCATTGTCCTCCACTTGAGAAGCGTTTATTTTGCTTGGTGCCGCCTCCAGAAGATTATAAATTACCCATAAAATGGCCAACCAGCAGGGATTATGTGTGGAGAAGCAATGTGAACCATACACGTCTTGCTGAAGTCAAAGGAGGACAGAACTGGGTGCATGAGAAAGGTCAGCTATGGTGGTTCCCTGGTGGTGGCACTCATTTCAAGAATGGAGCAGCTGATTACATTGAGAGGTACATGAACTTAAGCTTCTTATATTGCTTATTCACATTCAAACTGGTCAATTTATCATTTCTTACAATGGCAATGATACCGGTAATCAATGACATTTCTGAAACCCAAGCACTATAATGTTTCATTTCTTATGATTTTTGTTTTGAGTGCAGGTTAGGAAATATGGTAACTGATGAGACAGGTGATCTGCGTTCAGCTGGGGTTGTTCAAGTTCTGGATGTTGGCTGTGGCGTTGCTAGCTTCTCAGCTTATCTTCTTCCTTTGGATATACAAACAATGTCTTTTGCTCCCAAAGATGGTCATGAAAATCAGATTCAGTTTGCTTTAGAACGAGGAATTAGTGCCATGACTGCTGCCATTGCCACAAAACAGCTACCATATCCCTCTAGCTCTTTTGAGATGGTTCATTGTTCGAGGTGTCGTGTTGACTGGCATGAGAACGGTATGGTGCTTGAATATTGTTATGTGCAGTGGCATTTGAAAATTGTTCATAGGAAGAAATAAAATATGTTTCAAACAAATGCTCCATGCTCTTCAAGCATTTTGCTGCAATGTTGTCATCCAGTTGAAATGGTAATAGTCAGCCAAAAGAAGTGATCTCTGATTTCTAACCTTTTCTGATGGCATATAGTAACACAAAGAAAAAATAGTAAACCATAGTTGGAACTACAGATACATCTCTATGCAAGTTTATCAGTCATGATTCAGCAGATTGCTGTATATATGACTTGCATCAGCTATCTTTTCAAAGAACACAAGCTTCTAAATCAGATTGAAAGTGCACTTTGTAAGTTTGATAGACAGATGCTACCCTGATGTGTTTTGATAAAAGATTGTTATGGTTAGGCAAGTATACGAAATACTAATTCATTTCTTTTGCAAGCTCTGAACATTTTGTTTTAAGATTATTGAGAAAAAGCTGTTTAATTTATGTTTAGATTTTACTCGTTTTCCATAATTTCATTGGGATTTTTATTTAATTTTTATATATCTTTTTTTCTTAATGCAGATGGTATTTTACTCAAAGAAGTTAATCGTCTTTTGCGTGATAATGGATATTTTATCTATTCGTCTCCACCTGCTTATAGAAAGGATAAAGATTATCCATTGATTTGGGATAAGCTGGTAAATTTCACTTCAGCTATGTGCTGGAAACTCATTGCCCGAAAAGTTCAGACCGCAGTCTGGGTCAAACAAGCAAACAATTCATGCCTCCTGCACAATGCAGAGATGAAGCAAATAAACTTCTGTGATACTGTGGATGACACGAAACCATCATGGAAAACACCACTGAGGAACTGCATACCTAGAAGAAGTGCTCAAATAAATTCTCAGAAACTCCCTCCCAGACCAGAACGTCTTTCTGTATATTCAGAGAGTCTCAGCAAAATTGGTGCGATCTCGTGCTTTCTCTGAGCTTAGTAGCTGAAAGTTGTGTTTGGTTTTCCCTGCTTTTTCTGACCCCCAGTCATGCCTGAGTATGGTGTCTTTTTCAAATTTGGATACTATATTAGCTTTTAGTTCAAAAATTGAATACACTGCAAGTGTAATCAAACTGCGATGCATTTGTGATGAGCACAGTGGAAGATATTGATATCAACTATCAAGTACATTTCGAAGTTTCAAGTAGTTGGAGGCAGCTTGGGGGCAAGCTTGCTAGGATTGCCTGTGCTTTTTTGTCATCAAGATCATTGGGGCAGGGTTCACGTGGGAAATTTCAGATGAATGACTAGCATTTAACCTTGTCTTTTGTAGCCTATTGCCGTGATTGCTAGGAAAATGCATAAACCATGTTAAATTTCAATCTGACAGGATAATTTCTGCACATTTTTGTTGCAGGTATCACTGAAGAACAATTTTCTTCAGATGCCATATTCTGGCAAAATCAAGCTGCTCATTACTGGAAGCTGATGAATATCAATGAGACGGACATACGAAATATCATGGACATGAATGCTTTTATTGGCGGATTTGCTGTGGCTTTGAATTCGCTGCCTGTTTGGGTGATGAATATCGTTCCCATGAGCTTGAATAATACCTTGTCAGCTATTTATGACCGGGGTCTTATAGGAGCTTTCCATGATTGGTAAGAGATTGTCAATCGATTCAATTGTGCTCTACATATATTTCCATGGATTCAAGGATGTGCAATATGCTAGTTTGCTTACAACGTGTATTTTAACTTCAGGTGCGAGCCATTCTCAACATATCCACGAACATATGATCTGTTGCATGCCAACCATCTCTTCACTCACTACAAAGACCATGGAGAAGGTTGCTTGCTGGAGGATGTCATGCTGGAGATGGACCGTATTGTACGACCTCAGGTAACTGTTTCAATAAAATTCATCTATCAAACTCTTGAAAATCAGAGAAGTTATATGGTGTAAT